CGAAGTCCCAACTGGACGTAGGCAAAAGCTCTGCCGAACCAGTCTAATTCTTGTGTGTTTCTAAGTGTTTTAATGTTTGCTAGTTTAGTCTATTGTCGTCGGTTACGTCAAAGAACAAGATCTAGAAAGCGAGTTATTTAACAAGTGGTATCAGGAGCCTAGGTTAAGGGGTTCTACGATGTCTAAAGGGAAGATGAATGCGGATCTAGGACCTGCGTTAAAGCCCTTTGACGGCAAGGATGACTTCATGGATTGGCAAAGGATGATGAAGAACGTACTGATACAGTAAGATTTGGATGATGCACTCAGCGGTGAGAAGCCAACAGGCATGACAGACACAACATGGACTAAGGTTCTCAAGAAAGCCAAGAGTTCCATCGAGATCCATCTCACAAGATCAATTCGGTCACACATCACAGAAAAGATTACTGCCCAAGAAGCATGGGAAAAGTTGGAGAATGTTTATATGGGCAAAACCGTGTCCAATAAACTTTTTCTAAAGGATGAACTATTCAGACTTCGACTGGAAGAAGGAGGTGATATTGAAGATCACGTATGCAGGTTTCAAAATTGCATAACTAATCTTCAGAAGGTCGAAGAAACTTACAAAGATGATGATATGGCTATCATCTTGCTGAGGTCTTTACCTTCGTCTTTCAAGCACTTTCGAACAACTTTAATGTTTGGAAAAGAGTCCCTGAAGCTTGAAGACGTGATTCAAGCTCTTCAGTCATATGCTAAACTAGATGATATAACTGAAAGCTCTCAAGGCCTTTATGCTAAAGGCAAGGAGAGGGGGCGGGAAAAGACAAAGGAAGAGAAAACAGGCAACAGAGGTAGGTCAAAATCCAAGAAGAAAAAGGAAAAGAAGGAAGGTTGCTTCGAATGTGGTTCAGCCGATCATTGGAAGAGGAACTGCAAGATTTGGAAAGAGAAGAAAGCCAAGAGGGAAGGAAGCTCGGGTTCAGCTAGTGCAGTCACCGAGCATGAGAGTGACGGGGAGCTTCTTTCAGTAACATCAGGCTCCAAGGCTTTCACAAATTGGATTTTAGACACCGGATGCACTTTTCATATGTGTGCAGTAAGCGAATGGTTCGATACTTACAAAGAAGTCAGCAGCGGGGAAGTTTTAATGGGGGACGATTCTTCATGTTCTGTAAAAGGAATCGGCACTGTTCAAATCAGAATGTTTGATGGGATGATACGAGTTTTGGGGGACGTTAGATATGTCCCTAGACTAAGAAATAATTTGATTTCCTTGG